GTCAGACAGCGGTACTGGCCAGTTGATGGCAAAAATATGACACGCCACATAATTCGCAAATGTTTGCGATGCTTCGAGGCTAAACCGACAGGTCCGCCTGACTACCTGATGGGCAACCTTCCCCGCGATCGGCTCGTAGCGACTCGACCGTTTGAGAACACCGGCGTAGACTATTGCGGTCTATTATTTATGAAAGAGAAACGATTTCGCAACCAAAAACGCCTCAAGGTGTATGTAGCAGTGTTTATTTGTTTCGTGACAAAGTCTGTACATTTAGAATTAGTTAGTGATTTGACCACAGAAGCCTTCCTCGCGGCATTAAATAGACTTTTTTCAAGACGAGGCAGATCTAAAAATATCTACTCCGACAATGCTACAAATTTTATTGGTGCAAAAAACGAGATCGCAGAGCTATTGACGTTAGTAAGATCAAGGGATCACGATGATCAAGTTGCGCGACATCTAGCTAACGAAGGAATAGTATGGCACTGTTCACCACCCAGGTCACCCCATTTTGGTGGTTTATGGGAAGCTGCTGTGAAGAGTTTCAAGCACCATCTAATAAGAACCGTTGGAGACACTTTGTTGACGTATGAACAACTAAACACGTACGTAGTTCAAATTGAAGGCACCCTCAATTCTCGTCCCCTAACACCCCTTTCGTCCGATCCAAACGATCTGCAATCGTTAACACCTGCTCACTTCCTAATCGGTGAGTCATTTACTAGTCTGCCTGAACATGATTTCACGACTATTGTGACGAATAGGTTATCTCTGTGGCAACATATACAGCGTATTAAACAACACTTTTGGACGCGCTGGCATAAACAGTACTTAAACGAATTAAGTATTCGTAGCAAATGGAAGATTGGAGCCTCCGATGTGATCAAGATGGACATGCTGGTACTCCTTCGACACGAAACGCTACCAGCGAAGCGATGGCCGTTGGGGCGGATCATGGAGATCCATCCGGGACATGACGGTGTTGTAAGGGTAGCGACCGTTAAAACCGCGAATGGACTGTACAAAAGAAGTGTAAAGAAACTGTGTCCTTTACCAACTCAAGTAGCTTAAGCATTGTATTTAAGGCATATTGATGTAAGCAATCATTGCGATGCGTTATTAATGTGTTCTAAGTTAAATTAGAAATTTAGTCTAGTTATAAGCGCTGCGGATCTGAAGGTGTAACGCGTTTTGTTAACGAATGTTGAACAGAGCCGTTCAAGGGGGCGGCATGTTCGGTCCTGGACGGATTAACACCAGACAATCTGTCAGGTCACTCGAGAGCCTACGGGGCCTAATCTACGGCCCCGAGAAAAAGTGCCTGACAGACCAATAAAATAAACCGAACCCTACGGGACAAGGTTCAATATTTCGGCAGATTTACAACGACGACCCGCTATAACTACATTTTTATACCGTTTACTTTAACGGTTAGTACCGGTAAAGTAAAAAATAAGGAAATGGTTCTATTTTACTGCACTTTAGCCGGAGACCCAAGGTGGTTCTCAACTGCCTTCCGTCGACTTGCCCTTTTCTCAAGGCCCTAGAGCAACGTCTTCGGAAGTGGGGGCAGGTTGGGGGAGAAGCCAATCAGGCTTCAAAAATGGGCCGAACAAAATTGACTCCACCCCGAGCAAGTCAACCTGCAAAACAAAACTTGTCGAAACCAGGAGTCTTTCGGTAACTCTCACGAGAGACGTGTCAAGCACTCTCACACAACTGTAAACCTAAACTGTGTTGCTTTGCATTACGACACAGCTTGAGCTTTTTTACAAATCAACTCCACCGCCATTAAGTTGCCGTTGGAGGCGCAGCATCTGAAGGAGCAACTTTCAATCTGCGCACCGTGCGATATATTCGTACGGCCCTAACAGACTGAGCCCCTTATTTAGTACTCTTCCTGCTATTTTACCAATGCATGACGGGTCATAGGACGTACAGTATTCTTATCCAGTTTGTCGATAAGGAAAATATAGCCTTCCTTCCAATTTTCAATTACTGTTTCTGTTTTCCAACTTTCCATTATTATTTTTGCCAACAGTTTTTTCATAATGTCTAGAAGATTTCCTATTACTATGTAGTCAATCTTATTTTTTCCAGGGTAGGATTTTTCTTCCTCAAATATTCAATTGTCCATTGGATTTCGTTGCTTGTTAGCAGTTTATTCCATATTTCCTCTTCATTAATTTGATTTATCTGTTCTTCTTCTTCTTGTACAATAAATTCATTATCTCGATTTATTTTTTTATTTTTATTCTCTATGAATTTAATTTCTTCGTCTTCTTTTTCATTCCTGTTTCTTATTTCTGTATTCAATGCTTCTCCCATGATGGCTTTCGTTACACCTATAATAGTTCTCCAGATTTTACTGAGCTTTGACTGACCTCTTATCTTTCTAGTGAGCTTTGCCTTTTCTTTTCTTTGATTAATCTCTTCCATTTCTTTCTCAATTCATCAATTTGTTACGATTTGCATGCTTTTTTGGTATGATACTTTATTTTGTCATGTAGTTCTGCACACTCGCTATCCCACCACTTGGGAGACGTTGTAATTTCCATATCTTTTTCTAGTCGGTCTTTCTGCGTTGTCGCTTTTTTCTCTTTCTTCAGACAATCTGTCTTCAGAAATACTATAACACACACGATTCGACTAACCAGACAAACCTCTCTATCTGAAAGACTTAATGAAAGCGGACCAACGTCGCCATGTTGCCGACATCAGGATCTAATTCCTGAAGTTGCGAGTAAATAATTTAATCGTCATTAATTATCATCATTAACAGATCTCGGTATTTTTATTTTCACGAAAATTTAAAATCTTAATATATAGGCTAGTCATTGGGAGAAATTTTGTTAAATAATTTAACAAATTCTGGAATGATTAATAGGCTCGTTAGACTATCGCAATTTTCTTTTGTATGATAATTAAACGAAAATATCGAAGGAAATAATTGTAACTTATTGGATAGTTGAACAATTCATTAGAAACTTCTGAATTTGATTTATCGTTTAATTAGCAAAGATCTATCAAGTAATAGTCAATGAACATATTAAAGAAAATAGCGTTAGGACATTTCTCCTGTTTGTTAGGAAAAGGTGTGCCGCGAACCGTCTATTAATTGAAAAAACGTATCAAGACGACTTGGCAGAAATTGCGAAATCCTTTGGTTTCCTTGTTCCACCAGCTATAGATTTGAGTATCCTTCTTAAAAATAGGTACTAAAACAATTTTGAATTGTTTCCTGAGGTTCATATGTTTCCTAATTCAAATTTTCGTTTGTTTTCGAAATAATCGAATGGGTATCATTAAGCATAGAATTGTCGATCTTCATTTATTCAATATGGCTGATTGGCTAGTGTCGTAGAGTCTGTCTATTTCGTGCCGAGGTTTAATAATTGTTTTTCGTGACATCTTCTTCGTTAAACTCACGTAATGAAGATGAACAATCCTGTAAGTACAAGTCTCATTTTCCTTATCATTATTTCGTCGTAGAAGTGGCAGTGAGCAAGAATTTGCGACCTCGAAAGAGGTTAATCGGAGGTGGTTATGGTTATTTTAAAGGCATGAATAATCCGGGTTCAGAGAAACAATTGCATCGTAGCAAAACTTTCCGTCAGAAAAAAATGTCTAACAATCGACAGTTTGCTAGATAATTAAAGTTATCGCATGTTCAAATGTAATTATTAATCATTGTATATATAAAAATTAAATAAACTTATGTGTTTTGTTCTATCCTGCATTTCGTATAATGCCTCTTTTTTTGGTAGTAATATATTTTACAGAGTTGCATTTGTCATAAAATATATGTTTTGAGCGCATTAAATAAATATGACTGCGTGTACCATCGGTGGTACACGTGACCTGAAGATCAAGTTTAACGTGTATCACCGGTGGTATGTATGGGCACGGAATGTGTTAATGCAGTTTCTTGCTCTTCAGATATTTTCTTCTATTGACTATTTTCTTTCTGTTCCATTCATTTTTCTCTCCAGATTCCCCAAGTTATTTTTTTTCAATCTTTATTTTTCAGTTTGAGGATTGTATCCTATTAGTTTTCCATGTCGGATCCTTGTTGGACGTATAACAATTCCATAGAGGGCACCTTGCGTTGAGAACTCCCATCAAACTATTGTTATTTCTAATTACCATTTCTTTAAGTAGCTTCACCCATTGTCTTTTATTGTGATTCTTCTTGTGTACTCTATACATTAAGTATACGGTCCTAAAAACATCCTAAAAACGTACCGCAATCTAGAAGTGAGAGTTCCGGAGGTCATTTGAAGTAATTTTTCCTTAGCGAAAATGCAATCCACGGTTTTGTTTACGAGTTATTAACGAGAAACAGTGAACAATGAGAGGCGAGATCAGAGATGCGAGACTCTTGGCTGGGCAGCTTCGCGCCTGCCGAGCTTATTGAACAGCGTTTTTCGTTAATAATTTATAAACATAACCGCGGATTACATAAGGAAAAAATTACTTCAAATGACCTCAGGGACGTTCAATTTCAGGATTGCGAGATATTTTTGAAACACTTCGTATATTCTGTAGGTTCGTCCTATCTTGTCCGACTCTAGACCAATTACGAGCTGGGTGAGAGTTGTAAAGCCCAACCAAAAAAGAAGGGGTATTTCAGGTACTATGAATTAATCCACGATCAATTGTTATAACGGCAGCGTTATAACAGCGGCATAGACTGTTAAATTTTACAAAAACTTCTCGCAAGTACAATTGTTGAGGGCTCTAGTGGTATTGGAAGGTAGAAACGTGGACTGTATGGTTATAAGACGCTGATGTAATAAACTAAATACATTTTAATAAATAAGATATATACAGAGGAAGGAAATGTACAATAAAATGATGAAATGTGATGATGTGATGCTCTCGTGAAGCTTACGAAAGAAAGCTGCAGCGATGACTGTGTTACGGGACCATATCAGGTCCTGAAGAAATAACGTATGCTCCTTTATACTCTTCTATCGTACGGGCGAATTCACCGATTCGTACGAAGAAGGTTAAGTTCAAATAATCGCGAAACTTATTACTTAAGGTTCACAAAAGATCTTGTCTGAACGAAAGTAATTAAGTATTTCCGTAGAAAATACCAAAGTAACGCTTAGGACACGGAGCGAATAATGAAGGTTTTTAATAAGACGAACAAGGTGTGGCTCGGTTAGAATCGAACTGGTCAATGACTGCTTTATTCGGAGACCCGCGCGTATTAATACATGTAAGTGTTTATAAGAGCATATCCGGTGCGATTAAATTAGGCGTCGGAATGTCGCCTTGCTTCACACCCCCGTTGTTAGATTCGATTTGGTTCCAGAAACCGAACAATATTTCTTTTTCCGGGTTTTGATGGTTTCCATTGGGGTGGTTCGTAGGCTGGTAGATCGCTAGGCCACGAGATTTGTGTAGTGTTGTCTTCCGAGGCGGTTGAGTACCGTACGCTTTCGAATTGTTGAGGGCTATTGGTTTGAACATTTTCCTGACAGCATATTTTTACACAAATGGTCGAAGGTATGCACTTTCCTAGGAGTGAGAAGAGTTTACATTTATATAATACAAATAGGACAGTAGCAACTATGTTCCATAACTAAGGTACGTGATGATTGAGACGGACATTTCAACGGCTGATTTGATTCTGTGTTTATGTGAGATGCCAATGAGTTGTGATTCTATGTTATCTAGGCTGTTGGTATAAGCTTTGAAATTTGGAGTTACTTTGGGTACTATAGATAACGCCTTGAGTTTATCTAGATCTTGGCTGAAAGCGTAGTACCTCCAAGTTTCATCACATTATTGTTGTATAAAAAGGTACAATCTTCGTTGTTGGTGATTTTGACGGGTTGGTCAATTACAAATTGTTTTTCGCTGTTACAAAGTGAGGTAATCGTGATCGTGTGTTCCGGTATGACAATGTATGTGTTAGGCGCGTACATCGGTAAAAACGTAAGTTCGTGGATTTTGAAGAGGGTAAGCGTACATTCATTGTAATTTGCACATTCCAAAGCATTAGCGTGTTGTGCGGGTTGAGTACGTCTACAGATTTTCGCAAAGCTGGTGGATCTACA